TACATTATTTTGATATTATTAATAAATTATTATGCTAAGTTTGATATCTATTAATATAACGTATCAATAAAGTGATAAAAAAATGAAATTTTGCCCACATACAAGCTCCTATTCCTTTCATATATAATGAATGTGCTCATGAGCCTAAATGACAGACTCGCATAATTTGAGATCTTATGTGACAAAATTTCATGCTTCAGTACTTGGCTTGGATAAATTTTAATTTACTTTCAATCAAAAAATAATTAGGTTTTTGATTATCCATAAATATGTTAATTATTTATAGTCATTTCATCTGTATAGTTGCATTTTAATACAACTAGTGCGGTACCCGTGCGATGCACGAGCTAGTTTTATTAAGGTAAGCAGTTAAATTTGGATGATTGAAAGAACGTAAAATACATATATTGAAATGAAACACAATGTAACGTTATATATTATTAAACACCTCTTTGTACACAAAATTATTTGTTTGGTCTTTTGGTACATCGTCTATCGCCACAAATTATATTAAGATTGTAGATAATCTTAAATAAATCGGTTAAATTATTTAGCAGAATATATACGATATTTTGTAAGTGTATGAAATCATTATTTATTTTGTAAGTATTCAATCAATTTCAAATTTGTATTCTAGATAATTAAACAAAACCCAAATTTTTAGGATGTTACAATCCGATTTCATTTTGAATTTCTAATTAATATTATATGACTTTGTGTTATGTTTAAAAAAAGTCCGAATTAAAGAAAGTAGTAATCAAATGATAAAAGATTTTTAAATTTTAATTTTAAATTTGGCCCGATTTTTATGTAATCCGATTTTTTTAATAAACATGATCTGCTACAATTAGGTAAAGATACATGTTATAGTGTTTTGTCTAATTCAGAAATTCTCGATTGTATGGTAAACATATTTTTTTAATAAAAAAAAATGAAAGAATTTTGATTTTTACAAAATTGTCATTCCGATTATGCAATCCAATTTTTATAATAAATAATTGATTTGTTACAATTAATAAAAGATATATGTGAAAGTATTTTTCCTAATTCGAAATTCTTGATTTTATTTTCATCAGTTTTTTTTGTAATGAAAATAGAGAAAGAAAATTGACTTTTGCATCAATCGAAATTTACCTAAATTAAATCCACAAAATATATAAATTTAGGGTGCATATTTAAAAAAATAAAATTGTTGTACCATTTCAAGATTAAATCAATCGTAATTAATTTTAATTAAAATATAATAGTTTCCAAACAAAACACTTTAGTTAGCCAAAAATTTATGGTATGTAATATTGTTTCATTATGGTAGCACGATTTTTTGAAAGAAAAGTAACAAATACCATAATTTTAGGTAGCATTTAGTGCTGATTTTTTGAAAAAAAAAAAAAGTTACTAAGTATGGAATGCAATTAATGCTAATAGAGATTTGACCAGAATTTGACCTACTATTTTAAAAAAATGATAATTCTTTTTATATATATATATATATAGATTTCCTATTGTAACCATTAATATTTTAAAAGTTAATAACTTTTTCAGTTTTTTATCAGTTTTACATATGTAATATATTGAATCAATCATCTCTTGATGAGCTTCGATTTGACATTCATATTGTATTTGATGTGCTATTGCACCTCGAACTGGCCCTCCTTGATTCTCAACCGCTTAAGCACCCGAACACCTGCAAAGACGCCGGGAGGTGTTCTCGGCGGTAAACCTCCGAGGCTCAAGTTAATATATTATCTAGAATGTCACAGTATAGATTTTAGAGTTTGTAACGTGATTCGATGATTACCTCTCGTGCACCCAACTTTACCTATTTATAAGTATTGACATTGCATTTGTGCCACGCCTCGGCCCTCGCCCGTTAGATAATCCAGCCCCTTCTTATCTTGACGCTACACGTGTCCCCCATACATTCCTCCTAATAATCACTCCATTCATGAGCCGCTATTATTTCCTTTGGATCGAGCCCAAAACGACTAGGCTACCCATTTACCCTATTATCTCTATGTGTCATATCAGTATTTATAAAATAATAAATTATATATATCTTTTTAATAATAATAGAATTATTTACCACATAATATATTTATGTTTGAAGTAATTATATCATATAAGAAAAAATGTTATAATATAACACATGTAAATCGCCTAAGTAACAAATGTCATTTAAAATATATAACAATATATATTTTCTGTAAATAAAATATTTAAATTTTAAAATATTTTTGGTCATTAACTTTAAATTCAAGAATAATTTTTTTCAACAAATACCCGAGTAATACACCAGTGTTTTGTACCCTTTATAAATTATTTCATAAATGGTCAGTACCAAATTTCAAACATATTCATCATTAATTTTTGCTATGAATCCTACAAATGCATTTATTTCGTGATGATTCTACAATAGAGCACAAGTCCAAACAATACCATGTCACCATAAAATTTTCTTCTGCGTTTTGATGTGTTTTATAACAGTTGTATAATTTTGTTTTCTCCGCAACTTTTTTGGATAAGGACAAAGATATAGAAAATGCTTAATTGATTTAATTTTCATCTGAATTTGTTTTCATCTGGAAATTTTATTTCATTTTAAATTTTTCACCCTATAATTAATAAATCTACGTGACGATTTTTTAAATGCATCATTATTATAAAACTTTTAAAACCAAAACATATATACGTTGTAATTTTTTTAATATACGACGCTCTTTTACACGAATCATTATTTATGAATTTCGATCACATAACATATATAAGTACGTATTTTTATTTTTAAAAAAAAAATCTATCCGTCTAACGATTAAACTGTTCTCACAAGATTTCGGATTTGAAGAAAGCCAATATATCATTTGTATACACAATCGAGAGAACGTGAAGCTTGCTTCAATCACCCATTATTATTACATAAGCAACATCTTTTTAATCATTCTTTTTTTTTAAAAAAAAATTATATATTATTTTATTATATATAATATAGAAATTAGGAGAAAAAAAAGTTGGCCATGGCATGGGGTGCGTGACCTTCCTACAAGCTGATATCATGGAAAAATTAATTATTATTTGCATGAAGATTATATTTGTAAGTGTTTTGCTCAAGTTGCTTATATGGTTGCACAAATAATTGAGATATATATTTTCAATTATTAGAGCTAAAATAAAAGGGGATTTTCAAAAGTGGTCATGTTATTTTGGGATCTATCAATAGTATAATTTTATCATAGTTCAGTCGTCGTCGTCGCGTATGATTGAATATGAATTTGATTGGTTTTTTAGGTTAAATATAATAAATTTTGAAAAATGTGGTATGATTAGTTGTTAGCGAGAATTTAAGTGTAAATTAAAATAATATTTCAAATAAAATAATTAAATTTGATTTAATGTAATATGGAAGAAAAATAATTGGAAGTGATGATTAGTTAAAATTATGTGAGTGGATGAATAGTGAATTAAAAGTTGATGTGATGTGTAAAAAGTGATCAATTAATTAATATTATTTAATTATACTTATAATATTGAATATAGTGAAGTTGCGTTAAATTTGAGTTTTAATTGATTTTTTTACTAGACTATATACCTTATGATTACTTCCAATTTTTTCCCTATAGATACATACTATTATTTTTTGGAGAGATACTACGATCACGTGACGGAACGATTCTGTCGGGATTTGTAACCGTTAGATCAATTACCTCCGACGTTACATGATGATTTAACGGTTACAATTCTCGACGGAATGATTCTGTAATGGGACCGTAGTATTTCTCTATTTTTCTGTGCTATAGGGAGCCAATAATTATTTATTGAGATGAGAAAGTGACCAAGTTCTATGCATGTGTTGATTTCTTCATTCAAAAATTCAAATTTATTAGTGTTGATTTCTTGAATAAAAAATTCAAATATATTATGTATATACGTATATATGTACATTAATTAAGTGCATGAAAAAAAGTGGCACCGAAATCAGAATATTTCGTAAGCAAGCCCCATAAAATGATTCCTATATTTAGTAAGACACAATGACTTTTATTTATTTATTTATCAATCTATTTATTTATTTTTGGCGAGATTTGGGATAAGTAGACTTGGACTTATTATATGGTACGTACATTGGTCCATAATTGTATCCAACTGGAATCTATTAACGTTTTTATCACTCACATCTGACGTAATTTTCGTTAAATTCACATATCAAAGACCAAGAATGAACCATTATTTTTTGTAGATAGTCAATGTCTGACGAAAATGATATTTGGGCCAAATGATAATTTTGGATTCAACATGTGCATAGGGAAACCAATTTTGCGACGGACTATATGACGGCACTAGCGGCTTCTTTCCGTTGGGCTTGTAACGGATCTCGTCACCTCCCCCAGGGTTAGATGCATGGCTTGATCACGACATTCGTGGGGTGGCTCCCACAAGACGAGTTATAGTGTAGTAGTTTTCGGGTATCTGACCTCCATTTCTGTACCAAAAAAAAGAGAACATTATTTTTTTTTTTTTGTCCAATAACAACATTTTGCCCAATTACTTAAACCAGTGAACAATTTTCGCAATTCGTTAGCGGACAATTTTTATATTTTTTATTAATCATTATATATTTTGATAGGTTTTATTAATTATTTATTTTGCAATAATAGTAAAAAAAATTGGGCAAATTTGATATATATCCCAAGTTATGACATTTTTATTTTTTATTTTTTGTAATTTTGCCATTTGATTTAACATACCATTTCTTCAAAGAGTTCTCAAACGTATTCACAAAACCAAATGAGCAAAATATGCCAAAATGGTTGGAATACACACTGTATATATATGTTTCATCAAATTCTAACTAAATCAACTAAAACAACAACTTGGGACCAAATAAATGGTCTACAAATTCAACAAACCAGACCAATTAATTGAAAATTCAATTAAATCTTTCATTCATTTTTTTTAAAATTTTTTTTGCAGTCCTCATCTTGGATTCTTGAAGAGCCAACTTTGAACTAGTAAATACTGGGCATGTTATTCCAGAGGCACGAGCCAAAGTTCCAATCTTGATTTGCTATTCCTGTCGAGGCTGTAACTGGGTTGTACCTTGCGGCATTGTGTTGACTTTCTATGATCAAGTCGGTTGTACCATCGGTCAACATTGGAGATCCACTGCTACGCGCGTCGTCCCAGTCAGGGATTGGAACAGATAGCGGGAAGTTATCGAGAAGGTTTAATAATTCATCGTCCATCGCATTATTTCCCTCTTCTGGAGCCTTGGAGTTTCGACCTGTGTTATGCAATAATGTAAAGGAATAATCGTAATCGATCGCCAGCGAATTAGGTCTTTTAAGTATGACACATTAAATGATCTTATACTAAATCTATGTGTTCACTTATATCTCAATTTCAAGTTTACTAATTAATTTCCATATTATCATATATAATTCAAGATGTGTATATAGTATAAATAATTGTATATCCTTAATTTCTTGACAACTATTCTTGCAATAATTCTTTATGGTAACGTAAAGCAACTTCTCAGTTAAAATGTTAAATATGGGAACATACAAACCATGCTTGCAAAGAACCCACCTTTTAGGGACTATTTACATTCACACACTACTTTAAAAAAAAATAATAAAAAAAAAAAGAAACTCAAACCAAAACAATCCGCACAAATTCCTATGTAAGATGACCTAATCGTTAGGCGGGTCGACTTTCGTATGATTCTTTTAAACAAAAATGCATGCTTATCGTACGAAATGTCATACTATTGAAAAAGTATGATTGTTTAACTGTTAGACTGACTTAACAGTAGTTTTATTAATTGATCGATCAAGTCTACACAAACTCCATATAAGAATTTCTTGATCCATCAATTACCTAACATGGAATGAAGGTTTCATATGCATTTTAAAATGGCAACCATACAACATAAGCTCAACTTGTAAACTAGAGATTGCATCAATAAGTGAAGCACAATATGCACAAATTCAAGAAAAACAAAGCAAAATGTTAGCAACTCAAGATCTGAAAGATAAAACTCATACCCTCATAGCTATTATCAGAAGTTCCACTTCCATGCCCAAAACCAACAAAACCACCTTCCTCCCCAAGCACAGTTGCACTCCCAACAAGAAGGTCCTCGGTTTTTTCGGTACAACCCGCCAAAGCACGCGACTCCCCTAACAAATCCTCCAACAAACCGCTCCTTCGACAGCCCGCCTCGAACCCCTCGTCGTTCGAGGTGGACCCCACCACGAAGTCGCTGGACGAAGCTGCCGGAGTTATCACCGGCGATTGGATTGAAGGCAGCCCTAATCCCATCATATCCCGCCCCGTGTCAATCCCATCATAATTACCAAAATCACGGTCATTGTTGTACGGAACCAAACAGGGCACGGGCAGGGGATCCGAAAGGCCTTGATTGAAAAACGGGCTCGTCGGAAAAGAAGAATTCGAGGCGGTCAACGAGAGGGCCAAGCCCGTGTTGCCACCGTAAAAACCGAGCTCGTTATTTGCAGGTTTAAACAACGGTTGGGAATTATACGTGTCGTGATAGAATGGAGGGTTCGGATTAATTACGGGTAGATGAGATGATAAAGAAGGGGACGATGGTTTTTGCACAACTCGGTGAGGGTAAATAGGTAATCCGGCGCGTTGGCGTCGCTTGAGCCGCGTGTTCCAGTAGTTCTTGATCTCGTTATCGGTTCTTCCGGGGAGCTATTTGTGTACATGGCCAAAAAAAATAAACAAAAAAGAATTTAAAAGAGCAAAAAAGTTGAGGATCTTGTTTTTCTCATATAAGAAGCAAAATTTTATTCCAATAGAATGATTTGGAAACATATATAGTTGCAAATAGTTGAAAGTGATTGTTTGTTACTAAAATTGATTGATTCATACCAAAACAGAGAAAAACAGAACATAACTCAACATTTATGGACTTCAAGAAGCACACGCACACACAAATGAAATGATATGAAATGAAGAATTTTCCTAATAACATGAAAATCAAGATTCAAGGCAAGCTAGCTAACACAAACACACACACCTGAGCAGCCATGCGGGCCCACTTGTTGCCGATCTTCGCATGAAGCTCGACAATAAGCTTCTCCTCCTCGGGAGTGAAGGCGCCTTTCTTGAGATTGGGCCTCAGGTGGTTGGCCCACCTGAGCCGGCAGCTCTTGCCACACCTCATGAGGCCCGAGTTCCTTTGGACCGCGTTCCAATTGCCTTCGCCGTGTTTCTTCACGTACTCGACGAGGATCATGTCCTCGGAAGTCGTCCATGGACCTTTTTTCATCGCGTTCTTGCTCTTCGCACTAGCGGCCGAGTTTACTAATCCTCCCGATAAATCAGGTGCCATTTTTTTTTTTTTTAATTT